CCACCTAGCTTTCACTGGAAGGAACCTGCAAGCTGCCATCTCCATAGTGCCAAACCAGGACCTGGGTGCAAGCCTCCATCATGAGTGGTCCTGCCTGGTACAAGCAGAGGAAGAGTTGGCAGTGGCAGTAGCTCTGGAATTTTACATCCTCCAGCCATTTCTCTTGGTCTCTTAATCTGCTGCCCCTCTCTTCCTGCCCCTCTTTCCAAGCAGACCATCCCTAGCAGACTCCCCTGTCAGCTGGCCTGTTTCTTGCTCCTTGGTCCTAAAGAGAGGGGCAGCAAACTGACTTGCATACTACCATTTGCTGCCCCTGGTTGGGGAGTCTCTTTTTATATCTTCCTGGGCCTGGCTCTGCCCCCTTCTTAGGGCTTTTATTAGCCACAGGCAGCAATCACTCAGCTGGCAGCACTTCCAGCTGTCCAGAGCACATGCCCAACACGCACTGCCACCAAACAAACACTCAGCAAGGCAAATACACAGGCAGCCCTGGCTCACTTCCCTTCCGGGAGCAGGTAATCCCTCATTCAACATCTCTGTTACACACAGACTGAGATTGCCTGAGAACACAATGCTTGAAAGAACCATCCTAGGCTCCCCCTACACTAGCAAGTAGCAAGCTAGGGCCCAGTGCTCTCATGGCATGGGGCACCAGTCAGCCAGTTGGTCCTTCCAGCTACAGGAGCGTGTCAGAAGCCTTGGCTCAGGTGTGCCCCTGTGACTGGGAATGTAGGTCAATCAATCAGCACTGCCAGCCTTGGGAGGGTATTGAAGTCTTGAAGGCCTCCATGTGCTCCTGAGGCTGGAAGCAGCCACACATTCAGTTAAAGGTGCAACAGGAACGAGCCACAAAGCTGTTGTACATGATTTCCAATACCCACTTCGTGGGTTGTTGATTTTACTGTGTTATTAATTGCTTGAATATATAGCTGGGGTATTACTTAAGGTGTGATGAACTGTCCCCTGAAACGCACGAGTCTTTAATCTATGGCATTAGTTAAAGAGCAGCTTCGAGCAGCATCCATTTGGGAGCTGTGGTATTGTCAAGACAGCTCCTGGTGGCAACTTTGGGACTCTCAGTACTAATGTTCTGGGTGGCAGTATCTGTCCCAGTCCTGCTGGTTTCCATTGTATTGTACCCACCATCTGTGCCAGTATGTTCAGAGCACAGAACTCTACACATCCTCAGCCCTGAATTCAAACTGCTTCACCACTTGAGTACTCTACATCAACTTCAGGATGCAGTAGCCAGTACTTCTGCACACTCAAGATCTCACTGACTCATACATACTGGCAGATCCTGAGTGTGTTTTCATTAGCAGGGAAGATCTGAAAACAGGAGTAAATGAGGTGGTTTAAGGGGATTGAATGCCTCTCTCGCAGCTCTCCACCTTGACCATACTGGATGCCATTAGGATTGTACCCAGTTAGACCTCAACAGCCATTCCTAGACCTAGCTCACCATCTCCTGAAAGATCCTCAAGACCGCTAATAATCTAAGGTAGTATTGCAGTTTTGTGCAAGGTCTTTGCAGTTGATGGCGCTCTATCGTAATGCCTCCAGCCACAATACCAGCTCATCCCTTTCCAGGCTCATACTTGCACATTAAAAAACCAATTTTATGCATTTCCTCCACTCTGGCCTCCTCTCCACTTACATCCTTATATGAATTAGATTTTGTGGGAGCCTTCAAAATTGCTATACCATCTTTCAAGAAAGACAGCCTTTTTAGTGGCAATCCCAATCAGTCTGAATGCAGATAAAGATAAAAGTTACGTACCTGCTCTGAGGCCCCTCACACACACTGTCTTCCAAAAAATCATTACTCTTAGTACTTGTCCAAATTCCACTCTTCCCTAAAGTGATCCAGCTTGTCTGAACCAGATGATCCACTTACCCATTTTCTTTCTTGTATTATTAGGTGACACCACCCAATATTTTTGATGCATTTGGGGCATTTTCTTTTACTTTTGTATAGTGAAAATAGTCAGGGTCTCACCCAGACTGAATTATATCCCCCCTCCAAACTTTTAAAATTGGTATGTTAGCAACTATTTAGTTTAGATCCTTGCAAGGCAAGTCAAAACTTATTTGTCTAGAGTATAAGCAGCATTTGTGACTTCTTGGAGATGTTGTCAACTTGGAAGTGCATAGGACATCGGCCTAAGCATCTGACTAGTGTCACAACTGAAAGGGACCTAGGGGTAATAATAGATGATAGTATGAGCAGTCAGTGCAATGCTGTAGCCAAGCAGGGCAAACAATGCTCCGGCATGCATCAACCGATGCATCTCAAGCAAAACAAGGAAGTGATTCTTCCATTCTGCTTGGTACTGGTGAGACCACAGCTGGAGTACTGCATCTAGTTCTGGGCACCACACTTCAACAGGGACGTGGAAAAGCTTGAGGGAGTCCAGAGAAGGGCCACCCAGAGATGAGCCATACAAGGAAAGGCTGAGGGACTTGGGCCTCTTCAGCCTGAGAGAGAAGACTGAGTGGGGACCTGGTACCAGCTTACTGCTACATCAGGGGACTACATCAAGGGCTTGGCGAACAACTGTTCTTCGGGCACCCTTGGGGAAAACCAGGAGTAATGGCCACAAACTACTGGATGACTGATTCAGGCTTAAAACTAGGAAAAACTTCTTTACAGTTAGGGTGCCCAGACCGTGGAATAAACTCCCTCCAGAAGTGGTGCAATCACCTACCCTGGAAATCAAAAGGAGACTGGACAGTTACTTTGCTGGAATCACCTGACCCCAGGTGTCTTTCCTGCCTAGTGCAAGGGGGCTGGACCCGATGATCTTCTAGAGGTCCCTACCACCCCCTTACAATCTATGACTATGTTGTTCCTGTGCAGAGGCATCCAAGCTGAATACTCTCTCAAAGTCATGCAGGTAGCCAGATGACCAAACTTCTCCACAAGTTAGTGCCCATGAATCACTGAGTGGAATACATATGGACAATTATTGAAAATAAATTATTTCCTACAGTAAACTGTGGTTCTTTGAGATGCACTGTCCATGCTCCAACCTCCTTCCCTGCTATTGCAAGGCGTGTTAACTTCTGGGTTGCTAATATAGAACAAGAGGCAACTGGCTTCACTCCACCCTTTACACCCTTGACAGAGAAGCGGTAATGGCACTGGTGTGACCCAAAGAGAGATGAGATGGCCATGAAGATGAGGAGCTTGAGTGCACCTGTATTAAGAGTGGAGTAGATGGCCAACATATCAAAAAAACAGTTACTTGACTTCCAGTAACAGATTCCTTCTGGGAAAGCACTCAACACAAAGCAATAATTTAAATAGAAAGGAGAATTCAAAGGCATTTTTACACGTGCAGGCACCTGGCACTGAGCCACATGCAGTTGTATAAAAGTGGTGACATGAGTGTCAGCACTGAGAAAATGGTGGGGATGCGCTTTTGAACTAAAACAGCTCAGAGGAACTTTAGTTCAAAAGCACACTGCCATGAATAGTGAAGCGTGTGCCCCCGGTGGGCAGGGGAGCAGAGTGGCAGTGGCAGTGCAGCAGCAGTAAGCGGAGGAGCTCCCACAGACATCACGGGGGGGGCGGGGGCCTATGCATCGCCCCTGGACACTGCCACCATTTTCTGTGTGCTGACACGCATTTCGCCGTTTATACAACATGTGGCACAGCACAGTTCACCTCAGCTCGCATGCCGATTAATCGAGTCTGCTCCAAAACAGTGGATTCTCTGGCATGTTGCAGGAAAAAAGTATGTGTATAAATGCCCTAAATGTTTAAGTGAAATTCATGAGCGGAATATTAGGACATGCCAGATCTACAACTCATCAGTATAGCACAAAAGCCATGTTTGGGAACTTCTGGGACAAGAAATAAAAACACCGCCACCACCACACAGGTTTGTAAACACATGGGTGCCAACAAACAAATTAGCGTGAATTATTTGTCCAACAAACTACTTTCATTAAAATGTGAGGGGTATAAACTGTTCAGTTACAAAGCTATACCACTTCAGACCCCTATCCCATCCTGTACCAGTCTATATTACAAAGTGAACTTCTTATAGGCTTCCACAACATACACAACAGAAAACTCCAAGCCCAGTTTCACTTCTATAAACCTCCCACCACTGTACAGATGCTCAAGGGAAAGGGATAGCTGGAAGACAGAGTGGGGGACCTCTTTGGAAAAGCACAGCTCTTCTCCTAGGTCCAGAGAACCAGGCTGAGCCACAAGCTGAGATGTCTTTCTGTGAGGAAGAACAAACATTTTTCCCTCTACAGAGTCATTTAACCATGTTAAAGTCTGCCTTAAAAAAAGTGTGCATAAATTAGTGTGCATGTTTTCCTAATGCACAGCAATTATTTGAACTGCTAGGAACCTATCAAGCAACTTTCAGAAATGCTTCTCAAATGATGTAGGGATGTGAGTAACTCAACTGCCTGCTTAGAGAAGTGAAGCAAAAAGAGCAACCACTTTTAAATATTTTAACTAAAGCCTTTATTCTATACAACTGTGAAACACAGATCATTTACCCTTTTGGCATTGCAGACTCTTCTGTCAATCTTTCCTGAAACTGCATTATTGGGATGGTTGGAAGAAAGAAAGAAAAAAAAAAAGTTACAACCTTGGCGGACTTCAGACAAAAGCTGGGGGCAGTTACAATGTTTACAAAGGAACAGCAAGACAACCAGAAAGAATCAATGTCTATAAGAACAAAGCTTAGACCCCTGCTAATAATAAATACAATTCTGGACAACTTCTCAATAAAATTACAGCTCTGTTTAACCATTTAATTCACAAATATCACTAAAAATGTGCAGTAATAACACAGTTGTGTCAAACTGAGTATACACAGGAATGGGGTTTAAAAATTCAAATGGACTTTAAAGGGAAAAAAAAGACATGCTAAGCTTCATTCTGAAACATACCTTCTCATGTGAACAGTGAGCCTGTCCAGTTAGATTAAGCATGCAAAAGGTAATGACTCGAGTATTTTTCAAAGAAAATGTGTTGATGAAAACAATCTTTTATTTTTAATTGGATCCCAGTAATGTAATGAACCTGGGACTTTCTTAATGCTCTAACCTAGCTCCTGATAGCAAAAATACAGGAAGGGCAAGAGCACATCTCCAGGGAAAAAAAAAAGAATCATAGACTGCCCTTTGAAGGCACTTGTGCTTCTGTTTCAGACAAGAGTTATTGTACACAATTTCTGTGTGAGGATTATTAATTTTCTCTGGCTACAAAGTTTTATTTTTTGGAGGGACAGCCCCAAATTTTCTTGCCACAAGTTGAAATTCTCCCCACTCCCCAATAAGTTAAACTTTTTACAAGACCACTATGAGTTCATGAAAGCCTTAACTTTTTAGTAACAACAGTGAAAAGAAGATCTGCATACAGCTATAACAAAAACAGCATATAAAACATTGGAAAAAAGAATACAAGTACTTTTATATCATGGATATGAAGTTTGCTGTGAAGTATCTATAGTCTGATAGTAACAAAAATTCAATTTTTCAGAATGATCTGCAGTTTTAACATGTCAAGTTTAGAACACAGGTACTGGGAATTCCAACAAGCTTGTCTTCAGAACAGTTTGGACACAGTGCAGGAAATAGTTACATATTGTCTTTTAAAAAAAAAAAAAAAAAAAATCTTATGTTGTTGCAAAACAAGTTTATTGTATTATGATGCACAGCATCACTGGACTCATCCTGCTACAATATTTGTCTAGTGTTCTTACTCTGCATGTCTCTCTCTCTCTCTACAACATGTTTGATCCGCCATAGTAAACAAGTCTCACGTTAAGCCTTCACTTGCAATGAAATGGGCTGCTTCTTTTCAAGTGTGTAATAATTTTATTCTTATTCTTCTACATGGTAATTTTTTTATGAATAACCTATGAAAAAAATCAATATAGATACCAGATGAATGGAATGTACTCAAAAAATACAGTGCATGCAGTTTTGAATTACGTTGTGAACACAGTGACTAATATGGCCAAAACGGTGTTTCATATTAAGCGTGAGCAAATGAAAATAATGTTCTGGAAGAAACAAAAGAAAAAAAAGGGGAAGCAAAAGTCTGCACTGGATCATCATCTGTTCTCTGTACACTTTACATAACATGAACCACTCAGGGACTTCCCAACTCTCTCACCAGGCCTTGATTAGGACAGACTTTAGTTTAAAATCATATAGATTTTTTTCCTCTATATTACAGCTCTATTAGTCACTTCAATTAAATGTATACTTTCTGTCCATACTGAGTCATTAGAAGTCTCATCTACCTTAGGGGTTCAGTGGGCTTCTATAGTACTACTCTTGGAACCAGTACAGTAAGGTCAAGTAAATGAATAACCATTTGGGTCCATCACTTCTTTCACGTTGATTTCTGGCGGTAATGAAGTGTCAGATCTCCACCACTCTTCCATATGAAATGCTTTACAGTTCGAAGGTCCATGTTTGGATCCAAAACCTAAAAGGTGAGAATTTTTATAGCTTTTAATACCCGGGACACACTTTTTCCCTGTATAAAAAAAAAAAAAAGGACACACTTCACTTTTACACCTAAAAGAGATGCATGGATGTGCGTGTAAGAATGACAGGTCAGCAATACCCAACATTATGGCCCTGCAGACTGGATGAGTGGTGTCAGGTCAGTTCACAGGCTGGGTCCAGTCTGTGGGCCCAATCCCTCTGCACAGAGCTTGTGTTGTATTACAGTTTTTTAGATGACCCTTAGGGCAATTTTTAAAGCTCAAATGGCAGCATTTGCTAGAATAAGAAGAGCAGACAGGCAGTATACAAGCTGTTCCTCCTCAGCCCTGCATCTCAAACCTGGCCTGTCACATTCACAATGCCCTTTGGTCATTCTGCCTCAGGCACCTCTAAAAAGTTTGTATTACAGGTAACTACTCAGTACTAGCTGGTTTACCAGTCTATCACGTACCAGGATAACATCAGGACTAAGTCACAAATGAAAGAAAGATGGAACCAGTTTCAGAAGTAGCAAAGCATCAAGATGGCTACAATTTGGTTCATGTTCAGCTAGTCTGAGCAAGCATTTGCAGTATTCTCCCCCACTCCCTGCAAAAAATTACAGGCCAGCAACCAAAATCCCAGTATACAGATGCTTAGCCATGTGTTCTATCCAACTGTTTTACACACAAAAGATAAACCTGTAGAGTCCCATGAGATCATAGGAGGAAATTAAGTTTCAAAGACAGTTTAAAACAGATCATCTACAAGATACTTTTAAGATCCCTGCCTGGAGCTTCAGAATTGATTTGCTATTAACCATTATCTATGCCTGTCACATGCACATGGACCTTCAGTGGACTTACCTGGTCCTGGCACAAGAGTTCAATTTTCTCTTCCGCTAACACAGCAATGTCCTCCTCTTTTTCTTGTTCTCCAGCTTTTTCATTATTGGAGGAGCTTGTCGTCTGAGATTCATTATCCAGATTTATGATTTTCTCATAAACATGTTCCATTACTTTTCTGACCTGTAGCATGTCACTAGCTGATAATCTGTCTCTGTGCAAAGTAATCAAAAATGCAAAACAACTGATTTAAGTCTTTTCAACTCTTACCTTCACAGCATACAACAAAGTTTGCTAAAGCATATATCCTCATTTGCAATGTAAAATAAAAGCATTCTAATATAAAGATCTTATTTCAATCTATGGTACGAGACCATCTGTAGTTCTGTAGAGTATCAGTTACACCATCTGGTAAAGGATATGGTAAAATTAAAGGAGTTAAAAGCGATGGGAATGATCAGATCAAAATCTCAGATAAAGAACTCAAACAATTCCAACCATTTCAGTTCAATGAAGAGACAGCTAAGATGACAGGATAAAAATACATTGGATGATAAGTGATATATAAGCAGCGACATTCAATGAAATTAAGATGGCAGGACATTAAAAAGCAAATGAAATAAGACTGTCCAGAGGCAGTCACAGAAGCAAATATTTAGCAAGACTCAAGGAGGGATTGGACATGTATCTAGGTATCAAGAATATTCAAACTTATATGGCAGCAACACTTTTGGTAGAATATTGAATCTCATACTTCAGAGATGATACCAGCGATTCGCAACCTTTTTTAGACTCAAGGAACCCCTCCATAACTTTTTCAGTTTTAGGAGCACCTCATTTCAAAACATTATAAAAAAAAAAAAAAAGAAGTGACATGTTTATGAATGGTCATTAAAACTTTTTCCTGAAGTCCCTTTACTTCAGATTAGATCTCTTCAAAAATATCTAAAAGTTTTTTTAAATTAAGAACTGGGAAATAAAGAAGAAATACTACTTTTAAGGCAATATTGCTATTGAGAAGTTATGGGTACAAAAAGAGTCAGAAAGTAAAGACACTTCAGGGTCAGAGTTCCATAATTACATGGATACCACAGTCTGACTACAAACAGAGACCAAGGTCTGCAGCACACTTGTGAGGAGGCATTGAAACTTCCTTTCCTTATCAGCAGAGAAGCTGCCCCCCCTCTCATTTTGGCAGCAGGAGTCTTGCACAAAAGCAATTCAGGAAGGGAGACACTTTCTGTAAGAAGCAAGATTTCCTACAAATTGGATGCAGGGGCTGGCTACTGGAGGCTACTTGGGAAGCTGGGACCAGTGAGAACACACTTGCGCTAAGCTGGAGAGGCAAAGAAGAGTGTTTTGGTGCCCCAGTGCAGATGACTCCAGCTCTGCACCTGGTGTCAGCCTGCCTCTGGAAACCAGGGACTCTGTGCTCACCCTCCACCCATTCTACAGCTCCTGCTTGTCCCCACGCTGTTTCCCTGTGAACAGCTGCAGCTCATTCTCCACTGGCTAGTCCTCCCTGGACCCCTCTATGGGCACTGGGGGCCACCAGTGCCATCTGGTCCAGGCTGGGCTGGCTCAGGTAGCTTCTCCACACTGCGAGTGGCTTCATGAGACCCTGGTGTGAGCTGAGATTGAGCTACTTCTGGGAGACCACACATCCTGCAACATGCTTGAAAAACATGTTGTGGCACTCTGGTTGTGAAATCATCAGGCTTTACCAGCCTGTTAGAGACCCTGAATAAGACCTGACATGAGGGACAGATTCCCATGCAGGCAGCTGTTTGGCTTCTTCTACCTTCATTTGAAATCTCTAGTACTGGCCACTGTTAGAACCAGGATTCCTAATTAGCAGTGGGTCAAATCCAGTAAGACAATTCCCATGTTCCAGTCTTACCTGGAACATGGGAATTGAAAGGGTTATACAACTCAGTAAAAATGGAATAGTTACACTGCCAAAAAAAGTCTCAGCCCAAGTCAAAGTTCAGCATTTGGGTAAATTAATTGACAGCATAATACCTTAAACTTTCAAATATTTTCGTATCATCCTGGGTGCGTCTACACATTAAATTAATTTGAGGCAATAAACGCTGGGGCTGTTCAAGTCGAAGGAAACTGCTCCTGGATGCAGTATCCACATGTGCAGCCAGGACAGCGGCAGTTTAAGCTGGGACAGAGCAAGCCCCTGGCTGGTTGGGCTGACCACACTCAATGCACGCCTGCGGTCAGTATGTACACAGGTGTTTTGGTGCAGTAGAGTACTCCACCAGAAGGTGGTACTGCCCAGGAGAGTACTATCTTATGGTGGAGTTAATTAGTTCACTGTGCCCAGTACGGCACATGTGTAAACTGACACTTTACTGTGAAGCTAGTCAACACTGCAGTAAAGCACATGTGTAGATGCACCTCCTGTGTAGGCAGATATTCTCTCAACACCATACACTCTCACTCTCTCAAATCATGAGAGAGAGAGAGAGAGAGAGAGAGAATGTCCAATTTTGACTTCTGGATGAATAAAGATTCTGTTGTTTTTCTTGGCAAACTTTTTTTATGAGCCCTTCAATTGAACTTTCAGTACCGCTGAAATACAGTAAAATTATATACCTACTTTTTCAACGTCTTTGCCCCTGAAGATGAATGAGGTTGGAGGTAGAAAGGGATCTTATTGAATTTAGGCATATTTTTCTAAAATGAAATGAGAATAAGGTATTATATTTAGTGAACTGATACGATCCTCATTAGTGCTATTTCCAACAGGAAAGCATCAGCTCTCATTTAATAGGTTATCAAACCAAATAAAGTGAAGTCTCTCTAACACAACTGACAACTTTTCTTTAAACTGTTTACACATCTGAAGGATGCCAGATTTGTGTCATGTACACACATATTTGCCTAGTCTTGTATATATATTGCTGCGCATACCAGTAGAGGCATGGTGGTGCCAAAAGTTGCAGCAACAAAGAGTTCTCTCCCCACTCTCTATTTTCGGTACTTTAAAAGGGGACAGGTTACATATCAAAAGTCCAAATGTTGTTTCTTTAAAAATGGATAGAGTTTTAAGAATGAGGGCCTGGATACCAGGGATCAGTCCTAGGTATCAGTCACTTAAAAAAAAGAAAAAGAAAAAGAAAAAAAGTGACTTATTAAGGAATGGAATCAAATCTCCAGACATGCCTTGACTAGTTCACTCCAGTCAGACCAAGATGGGCATTCAGCATATTGCTAGCTTGAGAATATCTTTTTTCAGCTGGATTCTAGTACTTTCATTTTTGTTAGCAAGCAACACTCCTTGTGAATGATGGAGGAATGGACATTATAAATGTATACTAGAGTTGGTTTATTTTGGAGGGGGTCTCAGGTGAGCTGAGAACATACATGGCATTATTGAGAGTGTAACTTATTTTTTTGGAATTTTATCAAATGGTATATAAGACCAAAACATTTTCAAAAAGCTGTTTAGCTCACATACTCAATACCTGCTGGTTTACAGAATTAACACAAGTCCAGTACTTTCTGGAAAGTAGGTATTAGAGATCTGTAATGTGCACGAGTAAAGCATTTCAAGTTAATAACCCAAACATCCCTTTTAGCCTAGTTATGGGGAAATATTAAACACATGATTTGAGAGTTTGGTTAAACTCCTTTCTAGATTCCCTATCAAAGAAGAGTGCTATACACAGTGATACTTACATCCACGGTGATGTCAATTACCCATTGTGGCACGGTTTCATTAAGGAGCATAGATTCAGTTTCACCACCTGAATCCCGACATAATAACCTAAGACATAAAGACATGAGTTTCATGAATGATGCAATTAAATTATTGGTGGGGGAGGGGAAATCACTGTACAGTACATAGTTACAAAGCACTCTAACAGGGCAGCCTGCCTGCTGGTCAGACCCACTTTAGAAGTTGTCACATTTCCTATAAAAAGAGATGAGAAGGAAGCTGTCCCCTCCAATAAAGTCAAACAGGGGGACTGAAAGGAAGGAATCTTAGGCAGCAGAGGCTTAGGATGGACAGACGAACTGTTTGTTTTGCCTAAGAATAAAAGTATGCCTTGAACAAAAGACTTGGCATTAGTGTCCTGCAGGGCTGGGGAAACAGACCAGCTGCTTTACATGCAGGCAAGCAACAGATTGGAACAAAAGGTTCAGGCCTTGCTTACAAGTCCAATATGTTAAAAGCCGCAGTGGCGAAGTTCACATTAAGTAACCAAATTTACTTAAGTGACACTGGGACTGAATGTCACAGTGCTCCCAGACTTCAGATGTGCTATAATAGTTGTGGGTCAGGGTATTGAGAAATCAGTCATTTAAAATCCAGTAGGTTGGTTACCAGTAGGGGTGCACTGATAAGGATTTTTTGGGTTGATACCGATGGCCAATTATTAGCGGCCCATATTGGCTGATAGTGATCTGATTGCTGATAATGCAGCCAGAAGCTTGGAGAGCAGCGACCGGCTGATAAGTCTGCTGGGGGGAATAGGGTGTGGGGAGAGGTGGGGGGAGCAGCAGATCAAGGCCTCCATGGTGAGGGAGGGCTGAGGCAGGTGCTGCCACGCCGGGGCATGCTGGGACACCAGATGGAGCCATGAGCGGCTTGTCCAGGGGGCTATCCCCATCCCTCCTCGTGCCCCCTGGATGATCCGATTGCAGCTCTGCCCCATGCCCTGCCCTGCCCTGTCCCAGCTGGGCAGCACCTGCTCCTTCCCCAACCCCACTCCCCCTCTCACCATGGGGGCCTCGATCTGCCCCCCCCTCCCCACCAGACTTACCAGCCAGACGCTGCTCTCCAAACTGCCATGCTGGATGCATTCATGCCACAGCTGTGTGCGTGCACATAGCATTTAATCAGTGACATTAATTGGCCACATCAGCCAAAAAAAGCCAATTGCCGATCACATCAATTTTCCTTTTATCAGTGCCGATACGACATGGACAGGAATGTTTTATAGCATCTCAATGCTGGGAATCTGTTTTCCACTGTTAAATGTCACTGATGGCTTCGACTAGTACTAATGAAATCAAAGTAGAACAGGAAAGATGTAGAGGTACTGATTACCATTCAGATCGGGGTTGCACAGGGAAGGTCATAGGACTGCTTCTGTGCTTCCCATCTGCCAAGCATAAGAATGTTCTGATAGACCAGCTAATATGCTTCTGAGAGTGTTAAGCAATTACACAGACCAGCAAGCATGGGGGAAAAAAAGAAGCTAATGCCTGCAGCTCAATATTGCAGTCCTATAGCTCGTAATATTTGCCCATAATTAAGTAATGCTAGAAGAACTTAAGAGGGAAGAATTACACAGCTGTAGAATGAAACAGTCTTCAGGTTGCTATTGACTGGTTTACAGGAAGGGTAATGGGCAAGAAGTGCATTCTGAGCCATACATAATGCAGTGTCTTCCTAAGACCTCTGCTACAAATCAACTCAAACCACAAAGTGGATTGTTTAGCCATACAACAGCTTCTTAAACTTTGGTACCTGAACAAAGTGCGTCCTCCAGCTTCACCAAAAATAACTGGCGTATGTGGTGGCACCTGAAAGTATCCGTTTCCCTTCTGTACTCTATTCTCTTGCTCACCATTCACTAAAGAAACACAACACACACAACATAAAGATTATATACCTAGTTTTAAAACCAGGTACAGAATAAAGCAAATTGGGTCTCTCCCCACAGCAGCTGGTAAATTTCAAGAAAAATCCACAAAAACCTTAGCTAAAACACTTGGCATATGCACAAAACAAGAAATGGATAAGTGATGATTTCTTAAAAGCTAGAAGTCCCAGTTCTTAGCAAACGTGTCAAGAGGAAAAGAAAGAATCAAAAACTCTTATTCATCTTTCAGAACTTAGTGTCTGATGTATAAACAAAATGAGGCCATGAGCTGAACACTGCTTTAGGAGTTTTCCTCCCATTTTTGAGAAATACAGATAAATAAGTGTTTGATAAATAACTGAACGATCCACACTTTGGAATGACCAAGTAAACGTATCATTCCATAATGGCAATTATTTGAAGGTCAAGGCTTTTCATATGAAAATACAATGCTACACCAAGCCTATTCTTTGCGCTCTCACCTTATTTTACTACTCAAATAGCAAGTGGCACTGACAGAGTTTGGTTTTATCTTAAATTCACTGCATTATAAAATTCTATTCATTATTGACCAGGTTGATGTTTGTGAACTACAGGGGAAAAAGGATCCCAGTGACATGTCAAATGCAGAGTGCTGGATTATAGGAGTGCCACCATCATTTATTCATTTGCTGGAAACCACAACATTCAAAATGATTCACGTGCAAGGCATTTTGAAATGCCTGGTAAAATTCACTGACAAACAAGTATGCACAAGTGTCAAGGCGCAATGCCCTCCAAGTGGAACAGAGTCCAGGTTTGCTTTGTGGCTTCTATAATCAACCAGTTATTGAATTTGAACATTATGTTGAATGCAAAAATTCACCAAACTTTCGAAAGGCATAGTAAATGGGGGAGCAGAGTTCAAAGTCAAGTGTTGTGACCAGACAGGTATAGAGCAGGCTACTGCACACTCAAAAAGAAATTAAAGCACTCTGGAAATTAGAACAAAGGATTTTTAAATGGATTTAGAGATTTCTTTAGTAATTCAGATAAACAACTGAGGATGAGAACAATAAACTGGATTTTTGGAGGTACTGCAAAATTCTGCTTAAAAAGTTACTGAAAATAAGGCAAGGTTATAATGCTGCTTCAACATTTAAAATGAAAAAAACTGAATGCTCAGAGTGTTGAATTGGTAACTGAAAATCTTAAAGACTTAACTCAGAAAAGGAAGCATTTCACACACTCCTCTGAGTTTATCAGATAGTGTTGTTTGCAGGAACTGTTATATCATTTGTATGGTATTGTGTGTATGGAAAGACCTTTGGCCAAATCCTATTCCACCTTACTGGAGTCCTGGAAAAAAAACCCAAACAGAAAACCCCCAAACAAACAAACAAACAAACAAACAAACAAACAAACAAACATTAAATGTATCTACATTAAAACAGCTTCATCTTAGCCTTAAGACTAAGAAAAAAGCAGTGAGGAGGACTCATCTTTTGAACTAGCAGTTCTCCAGAGACTCCAGCAAGCTGGAATAAGATCACGTAGACACAAACACATAACCCTCCATTTTTCAGTTATGTAAAATGTGATGCCAGACTTGCACCCTTCCTGTTTGCAGCTTCCAGATCAGTGCTGTCTCACACAACTTCCAGTATGGTGACTTCAGAAAACACTACAGTACTTATTCTCATTTAGGTTCTCTCCCCCTGAGATTATAGCATTAAAGTACTTCGTACTAAAATAGTAACAATGGTATCCAGCCTGCCTACAGTGGTCTTGATGACCTCTAACAACAGCACTAACCCAACAACCCCTTTGAGACATTTTTTTTTTCCTCCCTAATACTCTTCAGTATTTGCTTCAAAAAGTTTTTAACCCTTCTCAAGCAAAATTTAGAGTCCAACCCCTACAATCCTCATTCACCCAGGCAGTCTTCCTGACAAGGAACTATGCCCAAGAGCAAGAAGTACAGCATCAGGGACATAAAGTTCTGAGAGTCTGGTAGTTGCCATTCCTCACATTTCCTATCCCAAAACTTAAGTCATTAATACACAGAACAGGTATAATAAAGGAAATAAAGCAAGCTTCCCCAAAACAGTCTGCCCAAGTGCCATAACCCTGTTTCCAAATCACACTAAGTGAGGAAGTATTAGAACAAACATGTTCTTTGTTATTCCTGATAAAAATGCTAAAACTTTAGCATGCTAAGAGTTTTGTAAGGCAGATGCTAGAGAAGCTGAACTTAAACCAACTCTTTTTACAAAGACCACTTAGCCACCAGCAGCTCTTGACCAATTCTGGCTTGACGTGGACTTGAATAGGTCACTTTGTGTACCTCTCCCAATTACTCACCAAGTTCAAATTACATGATTTTAAACTTCCTATCAAGTCAGTCCATCTTGCCTATCCGTCTTTATGCAATATGCTTCTAACACAGGGGTGAGCAATTATTTGGGCCCACAGGCCACACAGGAAGTTTTGTGGAGCTGCCGCAGGCCATAGCAGCATCTCCCCCCACCCCACCTTGTAACAGCTTGCCAAAACTCTTTATGTGGGATGGGGCTGTGGGCAGGTGGGGAGCTAGCATGGGCATGGGGCTGGAGCCTTGGATTAGCAGCTGCTCCAGGTCGGCAGCAGGTGGCAGCTTCAGTAGGGGCAGCTCAGCTGGGGTCCCCACTGCCACCAGCGTGGCCTCTGGGCTACCCTTCTACTCCAAAGAGGGGCTGGAGCTGCTGCCCAACTTCATGCCACTGCTCGGCTTCAGCGGCCAAGCAAAAGCTGCTGCTAGGTGCTGGGAAAAGCATGACCTGGAGGCAGGCACAGTCACTTCTCCCTCACCACTGCCACGGCCCTTCTTCCTGCAGCCACCTGGACCCTGCACTGAGGCTGCCCTGTGGCTCCTGCCTGCACCAGTGTGGGCTCCAGAGGACCGCAGCAAGAATGGCCCCAGCAATGGTGAGGGGGGAGGTGGCTGCACCCACTGCCAGGTCCCTTTTTCCCCAGTGCCCAGCAGCAGCTTCTGTCCAGCCGCTGCTGCTGCCTCTGCACCTGAGCCACAGGGTTGGGCAGCAGCTCCAGCCCCTCGATCTTCATGTCTGTCCACTGCCGCTCATCATGGCTGGGGCAGGCAGGTCCACAGTGGCTGCTGCAAGGACCCTGACCTCATGCAGGGTGGGCCAGGGCCATGCACCCAGCCCTGCCTGCCCATCTCACTCTCAGACACCACTCCCCACTGGCCCACAGCCCCATCTCAGCTGCTTGGCCAAGCAACTTGCCTGCATGGGTCATAGTTTCATAGTAGCTAGGGTCAGGAGGGACCTGAACAGATCATCTAGCC